TGCAGCAGCTCACTTCAAACTGCTGAATATTTAACCAGTCTGATCACATGGTAGCAGGTCTGCATGATTTAAAAGCAGCTATCTCTCCTACTGTTACCTGCAGCTCCACAGAGGACGGGGCCTCAGACTAACCCCACAGTCTGCAGCAGGAGGAAAACGCAGCCAGTGAGTAAACTACTTGTGTGCTTCGTTAAAATGCTGCTGAATGTTTGCTGGCCTCTAACATGCAGCACAGTCTTTGATCCAACCTGTTGACGTCGGTCGACTTTTTCAGTTTTGAAGAGACTCTCCTCAGTGCGTTGTAGTTTTATGGCTATGAAATTAGATCCATAGCTGTCATTAAAGTTTCACAGAGGGAGTTTCACTCTAGTAGTTCAGAAGAAAAAGCTCATCCACAGAGCAGGGTAACCAACTGCGGCCCAACGATCCATGGAACCCAAGCCCTGAAGGAAGGACTCAGGAAATACTAAGGATCTTTATGTAAATTTAAAGCACCAACAAAGGTGTCAACCTGGGAAATGGTTGCAGTTTTAATACCAATGTTTGTCTATTATATATAGATAATTTTAATAGTCACTTTTGTTGAGAAAAACTACTCTGAATCACCACATCCTGTAGCTTCTTACAAGGACGAGGATCGTTTTAACAAATACAAATAGGCCATATTGCATTTTCATGAAGTAAGATACAAACAACAAAAAGCTATAGGACACTTTTTGAAGCAGGAGCAGACGAAGGAAAAAGGGAGTGTCATGATCGAAAGTTTTGAAAGCCTTTGATAAATCTTAAAGCCTTTTGATAAATCAACAAAGCCTCAGTTGTCGTCACTACAACTTGAGGCAATCTTGATCAGTTTTGAGCTTTTCTGACACAGAGTGAGATCCATTTTGTACTGCAGCCCTCAGCTTACGCCTCTGACTAAACTAAGGTGGCTTATGTTATCTCCTTACTCAGGCAAGGCAAAAGTATGGGGCACTTCTCAGTGGCAGAAAGGGTCACACCTTTCTCATTCCTATTTGGCCTTTTCTTAGGAATAGATGCAGTTGTTCGACCCATCTCTGCCCAGTCATGAAACCACCAGAGGCCCTCTGTCTCTAAGACAAGGAGATATGTCTGTTTCAGGTCATATTATTGATTTCAACATCTTGGTAACTGAAAGTCAGTGGAATAAGGAGGCTTTAATGGAAATTTTGCAGACTGGATTAAACAATAAGAATTCAGATTTCCCTCTATCTCTGAAACAATTGGAGGATCTAGCCACCAGAATAGATCTCTGTATAATAGAATGGGAACAAAAAGAATGTTCTTTTAGACCTTTGACACTTTTCAGTTCAAGATCCAATGCCTGATAAAAAGATGTCTTTAGGGGGGAGACCCACATCTGAACCCATGTAGCTGGGGAGGACCAGACTGTCTAAGGAGGGGAAACAATGTATATACCAACTGAATTTGTGTCTCTACGGTGGTGGCAAGGGGCACAAAGTATTAACCTGTTCAGTAAAAAGTTAGGCTTGGTAGAGTAGGGGAGAACTCTACTAAGCGAAAAAAAGGTATCTAATGCTTTTACCCCAAGCTGTCTACAAATCTGTTTCTCACCAGACTTCTGTGTTCATCAATTTCGTAGCAGACACAGAGTTTATGGACGAGTTTGCTAAAAGACTGTGCATGCGACTATTAGCTGGGCCATCCTCACAAAATGTTCTGGCATTGTTCGGACATCACTTAAACAAATCACATTTGGTCTATGAGAAGGTGAGAGTGACCATTGGAGGTACCCATAAAGAAAATAATTTGTTCATGATAATTAATTCTCCTCAGGTTCCTGTGGTTTTGAGCATAACCTTGCTAGAAAACACATATCCCAGATTGAAAGATGGTTAAGAGCCTGGCTTGGGCTTCTTACTTTTCTGGAACCTGACCGACAGCTGATCATTCATTCTCCGTCCCTCAGAATGAGATTGAAGAGATTTTTTTCCTGATCTGTCCAAGGTACCTTATGACTATCATGACCTCAAGGAGGTGTTCAATAAATCGAAGGCTAGTTCTCTACCTCCTCATCGATTGCTGCATTGATCATCTTCATGGTTCCACACCCCTAAAGACCATCTGTACCCTCTGCCTAAGTCTCAGGCCATGAATAAATACATTGTCGAGATCCTCAAGGCCGGAATCATCCGCCTGTCATCCCTTCCCACAGTGCAGGATTCTCCTTAATGGGTAATAAGGATGGTTCTATCAGACCCTGTGTTGACTACAGTGGTCTCAATGATATCACCTTTAAGAACCACTAACCCTTACCACTTATGAACACCGCTTTTGAATAGATCCAAAGGGTTAAGATCTTCTCCAAACTAGATCTCTGCAACACCTACCATCTGGATCGCATCCGAGAGTGGAATGAATGGAAGACAACCTTCAATGGCCAGACGTGCCTTTTGGTTTAACCAACGCACCTGCAGTTGTTTAGAACCTGTTCAACAAGGTTTTAGGAGACACAGTGGGGCACTTTTTTTTGTCTATCTGGATGATATCATTCTTCACTCCAAAGGCTTAAAAAGCCTCAAACAACATGCACGGTCAGTCCTTTGTCTCGTTTAAAACCTGTTAAGGCAGAGAAGTGTGAATTTGACCCCCTTCTCCTTCCTTGGCTTCATTTTTCACCTAACCAGATATCTATGGGCCCGTCTAAGGTTCAAGCAGTTTCTGAATGGACAACTCCTTCTAAAAGGAAACAACTTCAGAGGTTTCAGGGCTTCACTAATTTCTATTGGATATTAATTAGGAATTACAGTCAAGTCGCACATCCCCTCAATTCTCTTCTCCTGTTCTACTGGAACGACAAAGCAGATAAAGCCTTTTCTCATCTGAAGCACATGTTTACTTCTGTCTCTTTTCTTTAGTCGCCTGATTCTGGCAAACATTTTCAATTGAAGTGGTTCCTTCCTGTTGCAGAGTGAGAGCAATCCTCAGCCAAAAGTCTAATGGTAAAGTTATTGACCCTTGTGCCTTTTTTCCAGACGTTTGTCTAATGCTGAATGCAATTATAACATGGGTGACTGCTAGCTCCTGGCAGTCAAGTTGTCGTAGAGCAATGGAGACATTGGTTGGAGACAGCGAAGGAACCCTTCATTGTTTGGAATACCTTTAGACAGCTAAAAGACTTAACCCTAAACAGGTCAGATGGTCTCTATTTTTGGGGAGGTTTAACTTTTCGTTATCTTACAGACATGGGACGAAAAATGTAAAACCTGCTGCCCTGTCCTGAATGTATGAGAATTTGGAGGAAAGTACCAGTTCTGCATTCCCTCTGTCTCTCCATCACCTTAGACCTGATTTTGCCTCCTGATCCTCTGAGCCTGCCTGACCTGTTTTCTGTACACTAACCTCGCTCACTTTCAGTTTTTTATCCACCATTTGATTTTATTTTAAATAATCATCTTATTCTAATCCTTAATTTTCTTTTTTTTATGATCTCTGTTGTGTCTATGCCTTTTTTCTTTCTGTGACAACACTAAAATGTTCTGTAAAAATAAACCTTATTGACTTGCTTAGGGTTTTGTTCAGTTTCATTTCAATCTGAAAAACTCATACAGAAAGAATAAGGCAATTAGAAGAATTTTCTTGATACAATTACTTTAGTCTTTGGCGCTCAGACCTCGGCAGGAAACATAGCGCTGAATTTTGTTTGATTTGCATGAACAGTAGTAAAGGATAGGGATGTTACCCTCCAGGCCTGAAACTGGTGGTGGAGTGGAGATAGAGGAAGTTGGTCAGTCTGTAGACTGCTGGTTGGCAAGATGGTGTGCTTGAGCTGTATGGATAGATCCAGTGGACTGCGTGAGCTGATATTAGAGCTTCACTCAGGGACCTGGAAGATGGAAGCCCAGCTTGGATAACACAGGTTGAGGGAACCTGTCCATGATGAGCAAGCATGGAGTGACAGTGGAGAGGAAAAACTCCCCATTGGGAAGAAACCTCTGGCAGAACCAGGCTCAACATGGAGGTTAATTGGTTGACCGGTTATGATGAGACAGGGAACGCAGTAAGAGTCCGGGAGGAATGACACTCTGATGAAGCTTGAGCTACAATGACGAAACGGTGCCATCTGAATGAAGTCAGACACAGAGCAACCACCGCCTGCGCACTAGGTAGCAGACGGAGTTGTAGATGGGAGATCTTTGAAGTTGAACTCTGGATGCAGTTTCGTGGAGGTGTGGTTCAAACTGATTAGCTAGTGTCGGAGGCGGATGAATGCTAGTAATCAGTTTATTCAGTTCTGCCTAGGCTCCTTTGATTTTTTTGGCTACCTTATATTGATTTTTTTTCCTTTAGTCTTTTTTTTTTGTTACAATGAAAGGAGACTTGTTAGCACTATTTTATGAAACTTAACTTTACTAGCTTTATATGATTTCTTTGTATATCCATGTTAGTAAAATACTTTTTCTTTGGTTTTATTTTCTGTATTTAAATTGATTTTATTATTTTCTACTAATTTACTAGTTAATTTTTTTTTGTTAAACCTTTTTTTTAGTGTACATTTGAAAATAAAGGCCACTGTAGGTTCAGTTTTTATGCCCTAAAAAATATTTATTAAATTCAAATAAGTTACCTAATTAATACATTTTCTTTACCCATAGCGAGGGTTTATTTGGAATGTCTTAATAAATAAAACTGGTGAGAATTGATGAGAAACAATTTCTGCACCTACTGACCAATGGAAAATTTCTCCCTGTTGAGAAAATAAACAACCAAGAGCTACCATTATTAGTTTAGTACAGATTACATCCTTTATAAAACTTTATTTATAATAAAAAATAATAATAGGTCTTATGGTGACCAAAGCACTGTGACTAATCTTATTTTATAGACAATCAACTAAACTGGTTCACCAGGGAAGCCCCACCTAGTGAGTTCCCACAGAAATAAGTACAGCTGAGATCAAACATGACTACCTGCAGCAGCTCACTTCAGACTGCTAAATATTTCACCAACCTGATCACATGGTAGCAGGTCTGCACGATTTAAAGCAGCTGTCTCTCCTACTGTTACCTGCAGCTCCACAAAGGACGGGGCCTCAGACTAACCCCACAGTCTGCAGCAGGAGGAAAACGCAGCCAGTGAGTAAACTACTTGTGTGCTTCGTTAAACTGCTGCTGGATGTTTGCTGTTTGCTGGCCTCTAACATGCAGCATAGTCTTTGGTCCAACCTGTTGATGTCAGTCAGTGCTATGAAGTGGCTATGAAATTAGATCCATAGCTGCATTAAAGTTTCACAGAGGGGTTTTCACTCTAGTGGTTCAGAAGAAAAAGCTCATCCACAGAGCAGGGTAACCAACTGCAGCCCAACTATTCATGGAACCCGAGCCCTGAAGGAAGGACTCAGGAAATACTAAGGATCTTTATGTAGATTTAAAGCACCAAACAAAGGTGTCAACCTGGGAAATGGTTGCAGCTTTGGAACAAATGTGTGTCTACTATATACATAGATAATTGTAGTAGTCACTTTGGTTGAGAAAAAAACTACTCTGAATCACCTCATCCTGGACTTTAGAGCTTCTAACAAGGACGAGGATCGTTTTAACAAATGCAAATAGGCCGTACTGCATTTTCATGAAGTAAGATACAAACAACAAAAAGCTATAGGACACTTTTTGAAGGAGGAGCAGAAGAAGGAAAAAGGGGGAAGTCCTGCAGTCTGTCTGTGAGACAAGACGGGAAAATAAGAGGAAGGAGAGATTTTCAGAAGAGATTTAGCATAAAGAGCCCTAATTAGATCCAGTCAATAACGTTCTATCTCTACAGACTAAATTAAACAGCCATTTACAAAAGAACAAACAGCAAATAAACTTTGAAACAATCTGATCCTGAATGCGATCAAAACAAGGGCATACTTGAAGATTTTAGAAGAATCAGGAACAAGTTGAATCCTGTTCACATCATGGAAGAAGAGGTGGAGGCGAAAGAGGAGTATAAATACCTTGGTGTTCACATGGACAACAAACTGGAGCGGAGTCCTGTGAAGCTGTCTGCTAGAAAGGACAGAGCACATTGTACTTCCTGAGGGCTTTCACACCTTGCCGATTTAGTCAGCATATTCCTGATGCCCCAGAATCCCCTAAAACGCTTGCAAACACTGAACTTTTAATGCATTTTTTTCAATTTTAGGCATATACATAGATCAGGGGTCTTCAATATTTTCCAGGCCAAGGACCCCCAAGCTGATGATGAGATTGGACGGGGACCCCCTAGTTATATATATTGTATGAAATCAAACTGGTCCTATAGTCATTCTGCCTCCATTTATCTGCTTACTACAGTGTGTTGAATTCATGTTAATCTGTATTTAAAGACATTTCAGTTAGTGGAAAAATTTCAAGGGGGAATATAAAAAAAAAAGTCTAAACCAAAACTTTTGTGACCCTCATGCAGTACCTCGGTGGATCCCAAGGGATCACGGACCCCCTGTTGAGGACCTCCGACATAGAGTACTCATAACAAGTCCAGAACTTATGCCCAACGACAGCCTAACTTATGTTTAACACATGGCAGCTTAATGAGCATGAAATGATGCACAGGCCAGTGTCCAGAGGGGGGGCAGTGATGGACGTGCATAAAAAGATTTATTTGATTGCGATATTAACCTAGCTGCTG